TTTCCTGATCGAGCTGGGGACGTGATGGTTTTACCGCCAGCTGTTTCCTACGTCCGTTCAGTCGTAAACACACACGAGCGCGGTTCCTAAGTAATAGCTTCATCAGTCGTCTGAACGTAAACGGTGCACCTGCTAGTCCAAACGGCATGCGTTTAAATCGATATTGTGTCTGACCCACGGTGAAAGCCGTCTTATCTCTATCACCTTGTTTTATCGGTATCTGCCAGTATCCTGAGCGAAGATCGAGAACCGAAAACACATTCGCACCTTGTAGGCGATCTAAAGTTTCTGCCACTGTTGGCATGGCACACGGTCTTAACTCTGTCATACTGTTTAACTGTCGAAAATCAACATAGAATCTGTACTTCCCATTCGCTTTTTTTACCAACAGCACTGGAGAGTTGTACGGGCTATCGGCTTCCTCAATAATGTCATCTTTTAACATCTCTTGCACTTGTCGCTCCACTTCGCCTTCCAGATGACATGGAACTCTTCGCGTTAAAAATGACGTTACTTTCGGACCACTTAACGGAATTTCATGATTCACCTTGTCGCAATAACGGTAGAGGATAGAGGCACAAATCAGCTGATTGCAGCAGTTTTAAGGTGTTATCGTGGTGTTGTGTTTAGGCTATTCTACGTTGTTTTTAGTGGTTTTTTCGACAGAAATGCATTTTAAAAATCATATTTTAACGAAAAAACGTGTAAAAAGTGAGAAAAGTAATCGTTTTCATTGTGTTAACGAAATGCTGTTTTTTCATCGAATTGACATCCCGAGATGCATAAGAAATGAAACAATTCATTGAAAAATGTCAATTATGATAGAAAATGCTAAATAATTACAAATTTTGAAGTTTATTTTGCGTATATGATGAGCAAAGGGTTAAATATCGAGGTAATTATAATTTCATGATTTTTACCAAATTGCTCAGAAATAAAGGAAATTGAGTTGGTTATTTCGTCAGACAACGGTGAAGAGATAGTCATTTAACTAGTACGTACTGTATTCTTTGTTTATTTATTTAACTCATCACATCTTGACTGAATGTTTATTTTTAATTTCCAGATTATGGTCTTCAATCCCGCAATCACTCAATACATTTAGACATTCTAATTGGGATTAAAAACGATAATATTTGTGTAAATGATGGAATTTTTGTGATATTAATAATGTATTTATCGAAATAAATACTGTTTTACAAATTTTGCTCTATTAAAACTTAGTGTTTGTCGAGTTGCAAAGTGATGCCAATGTAGAAGACGTAATATTCGTAAAATGGCATATTCACACGTTGCTGAATTTTGTCACGATGGGGTACTGTTATCGCTTTTGAGTAATTGCTTTCGCTAGTAAATCTTAAACAGGCGATATGCACAACAAAGGCCTATTTAATTTGTCACAGTATTTCATGATAGCAAAATAATCAAAGAAGTTTAGTGACGTAGTCAACTAATTAGTTGCATTAATGCACGAATCTAAGTGTTGGTGTGATCATGTAAGAGCCTTTTGATACGAAATGATAACACAAGAAGAGTAATGCAGTTTTCTCTTTATTACCTAATGATACCCTTTGGGATAGTGGTGTTAAACGCAACATAATAATAACAGAGTATTTGTGATAAATGGGATATAAGTTGCATTGTGTACTTGAAGTGCCTAGACTAATAACACAAGTTTCGTTATTACAGTACGAGCACATGTTTGACGGCTACTTTCGAAACAATCTTGAATATTAATCTTATACGCAACTGAAACACTTTACGCAAGGCTTGATAACGCATTGAGGAAGTAATAATAGTTTAAGACTGACGCATTTCACATAAGTATTAATACGTTGCCTATCATTCTCGTTAGCTCTGCAATATCCTCAAAATGATAAGTAAAAGAGACAAAGTTAGTCGACATAAATGCATATATTTGTAAGGAAACAATAATCAAACAAGTTAAAAATGACTCAGAATAAAAGAGTACATATATACACTAAAAAGAGTTAATAACAATCCAGTGAAAAAATCGCAGTTGTAGAGTTTTTATAGCTGCATCATTGTCGTCATAAAGTCCACCAAACACTCTATCCGCAACATCTGTGTCAGTTTGCCTCCGTTGTTAGTGGTGCTGGACCAGTCTTTGCAATTTTCATCACCACCAGTTCCGTTCGCAGAAACTGGATGTGAACTTTTCAAGCAGAGATTGAGATTGTATTCCTTCGAATGCCTTCAGCCATACTGAGAAAATTCTGAGGATGTATACATATCAGGTAAATTAATCTTACCTCTGGTGAACAATTCCTAATCTTAGCAACACTGAATATGTGAACAAGGCAAAGAACAACCACAGAGTTGGTGAAATTCTACAGATTAGTCGTCCATATATTCCACGATAGATTTCAGGAATCCTGTAACTTCCAAATCACCTGTCACAGTTTTTCTTCTATAAAAAGCAAATATTATACAAGTGACTCTTACCCATCCGTTACAATTAACTGAAAGACATAAAATCTCCAAACTTTATATTTCTTTGATTAAGTTACCCAGTAGTATTCTCCTTGTTAGTGGATCTAATGCTTCTCACATCTGTGAAATTTATAAGCATGTTAACTTGTCCCCTTAAGCTAAAAAATACAATGTTTATCCGCTTTTATTATTGCTATTTCAAAGCCCGCCTCAGTAACGTACAGCACGTATTAGCCGCAACTTTTACGAAAAGGAAAATCTACCAATCACAGTGTGCGTAAGTGACCTTCAAGTGCTCAGCCTCTCCATAAGCCATTTGTGCCGCTATCCTTTATCCGCAATAACCGTATGGGTCGCCATCTCCAGTGAACAGATGATCGTATTTATTAATTAACTCTGTCACATTGTGTACCGTCGACAGCTTAATCGCTGCTATCTCGCTGGTCTCATACATGTTGATATGCCCGTATTTCGTGATCACCACGTTCGCTTGCGTGTCGATTATTGCACCAATCTCACGCAGAAAATCCGCTCCTAATATCGTTCGCTGTAGTTCGGGTACAACAATGAAAGGAAACGTCACCTCGCAGCCACCAACAACGACCGTACAGTTCGATCTACCCGTGATACGCAACACATACCCGCCTACTGTTTGTACTGTCAATGAACACGGGCTAACACTCTTACATAAATTCTTATCTATTAACGACACGGCCGCCCCTGTATCTATCAAACATACTACTTCTCGATCATTCACTCGCAATTTCGAATACAGAGCGCCTTTCTCAATAGCCCCCACTAAGTCTAGTTTCATACGAAAGAAAGAACCAGCATTATACCGTCTGAAATTTTTTCTTTTTCGCCTTTCTGGGCAGTATTTTCTCCAGTGTCCCGGCTTACCGCATTCAAAACACCGGTCTTTTCTATCAGCCAACTTTAACGCCGCCACTTCCCGCTGCAATGCTTCAATTTTCTGCTCATATTCGTTTGGTTTTGGTTGGTCTATAGCGGCTACCGTTGTGCTCAGCAGCTGTCTGGTCACCTTCGCCAGCTCACTAATATCCATTGGCTGCTTTGAGTTAACCAGTTTTAATCACTGAGAAATGTGGTCTGGGACACTCTCGATGAATCGGGAAGACAGTAACTGCGCTTCTGATTCTTCATCTAAAGTGGGAAGCGCGCGTCGAAGTAGATTAGTCAGTTTCACCGCCAACACTAGCGGGTCTCCATCAGGTCCAAGCTTCATTGACCGGAACTGCTGCATTGCTAGCTGTCTGTCTGTTTCGCTGTCAAACTCGGACACTAGTCGTTCAACCAATTTCTTCCAAGACGCTGTGCCATTTGACCTGTCTACGCTGTCATATGCAGCCTTCGCTCGGCCTCTCAATAGCGTCCCCAAGACAACTGCCTTCGCTGCCTGCTCCTTGACACCCACCAGCTCAGCAACAGCCTCGAAGTCACGTAAGAAGCTCCTTATGTCTCCTTCTTCAAACGCAGCTGGTCACGGGATCTTCATTTTTTGGAGGCAGCGACACCAAATGTAACAACAGAAGACAAGGGCTGGCAACAGATCGTTTTTATTACGAAAATCAACACGTATTTATATATATTTTATATGCATTAATAAGGCTTATGCAAGCAGAAAAAGGCAGTCTTCTGATTGGTTGTTTCTCGGAAGTTAAGCAGACAAACACAGTCTTATGATTGGTTGTTTCCGATATTTCTCGGAAAGTAGAGCCATCTATCTGCGAATCATATTTGTCCACATTTAAGTTTGCTGTGATTGGTTGTTGAAACGGCCTTGTTCATATTTTCTCACGGCCCATATTAGTGACCTAGACATTAACGTAGATTAGTGCCAACCAATCGGCTAGCAGCCTGCTCTCACCACAATACCACTGAAGTGGAACTATTAAAGCAGAAGTGGTAGAAAACTACTTTTCCAGAGTCTTCACACAGAAGTAGCCTCTATAAATAACTGGAGCTTCAACCGCGCTAAGAGGAAGCAGGATAAGTTACACCGATGCTGACTAAAACACCGTATTTCAATCCGTAGGCAAGCCAGACACTGGGTCCAATGACTTTCACCCAAAGTTTCTCAAGGAACCTTCAGGTGGCTTAGCCAGTCAGTTAAAAACCCCCCTTAGACTATCCGTCTCTTATGGACTGTTACCACATGCGTGAAACGCTTTATCCATAAGAGAGGATTCAAGCAGTGTCCTTGTAACCTTATTCACGATAGTCTTACCACCATCTCGATGAGTATACTGGTGACATTAATCTAGAAACCCATCGTGAGGTATTCAGAGACCCACAACCTGTTTTTCGTTTCATAGCATGGCCTTTGGAAACCATATACATGTCCTACAAACCACATAGCAAGAAAAGCTAGGTCAAGTTTAGGGAATTTGAGATGCATTACAAATAAAGGCATTAAGCCATTATCAATTCAGTTTCATTTTTGTCACTTCTAGGTCTTAATGCAGAACAATGGAGTGGAAATTACGTAGGTCCAGGACGCGTTAATAATAAGATGCTTTGTATATGGCAACTTTGTATGACCTTCGTAAGGTCACCTTTAGCGGTTCAAGTATGACTCAGGCGACTGATGAGTTGTGTCGGAAATTCCAAAGTCTTGATCATGAGTGGAATAAGAAGAATCACAATGTTGATGAATGTCTCGAACGGGTTAAAGAAATTACTGTAAGTTAGCCGACTGATTTTGACAGTGTAAGTCTGCACTAACTAGGTGTTCGTTCCTCCCTAAAGATGAATCTGAAGCTTCCAGACGTGAACTTCTCATTGCTAGTAAGCAAACTCTGTATGTTAACTTTAGTTGCTAAGGAAGTACACTTGAAATAGCCACTATGCTGGCCTCAGAAAAGCAAGATATCCCTGCTTTCGAACATTATATGTCTCAGTTGAAGTGTTACTATTATGATTACAAGTAAACATTACAATCATTTTTAACTTCGTTCATAGAACAAACCTTCCAGATTCAGCCTACAAGTATGAGTTACTGGGACTAAATTTGCTTCGTCTGCTGGCTCAATGCAGGTTGTCTGAATTTCATACAGTAAGTGCTTGACTTATTGTTCATCCCGTTGTAGGAACTAGAACGCCTTACAATAGAGGAAATAACTTCTAGTGTGTATATAAATCATCCGGTCTCCATGGAGCAGTACCTGATGGAAGGCAGTTTCCACAAGGTTTTCTTATCTAAAGGTAACGTACCATCAAAGAGATATGATTTCTTCATTGATATCCTCTTGAATACAACCAGGTTAGATGTGTATACTAATATATACGTCCACTAGAGATGAGGTTGCGTCTTGCGTAGAAGCTGCCTATGAAAGTTTGTCACTGAAGGATGCCACTCCCATATTATTTTTTGATTCTGAGGAAGGAACCAAGGCTTTCGGACAAAAGGTAATCAATTTTTTCTATTAATCTCAACTCTTGTTTAGCGGGGATGGAAACTTGAAGCTGGCATCTTTCACTTCCCTAAAAATACCAAACAAACAGATGAAGGCATCCCATCAGCTGAGGTAACGAAGGTTATGCTGGAATACACAAGAGAGCTGGATCAAATAATTTAGAGTCAGTTTACCAACTTTGAGTTTCCATAGTTGTACTTAAAATTTTCGAAAATAAATCATCTTGTATTTTAAATTCATTTCTGTATTAGTAGTCTTTTAAGTCTTCCAATTAAGTCAATCTGTGGTTACAAAACAGTGGCCTTCAGTTACTTTTTGAACAAGGATCTCATTAATCTTTGCCTAGGGATTATTGTGTACTATGTGCTTACTCTAACAGGGTTTGTGTTATTTGAATAAGTATTTGTTGTTGGTTTGTATTGCCTCATTTACTCGCTTCACCTCCCCTAAAAATAATTAGCGGTTTTAAGACTTACTGTTCATGAATAATGCATCTGCTGCTCTCGCCTTAATGAATTCGGCTTACCGAGTGAAAATCCAAGAGACTGTAACAACAAAAACGGGATCGAAAAAGAATCTGATTACCTGGTTACTGTTCTATTGTTAGATACTGATCTTTCAATTTACCATAATTGTTTGTTTACGTAGTGATTTTATTTACCATTTCCATTCATTCCCACCCTATGCTGTCGAAATTTCCATCACATGTGTTAACTATTACTGGTTGTCGGATTATCAACTTGTATTCCACTCCTATGCCATCTGAGTTGAGATGGTTTTTGGGGTGTTTTATAAATTTACACAATAAATTTATTTTTAAGCTGTTAACAGTTGAACAAATATTATTTTATTAAAATGCAAATTTAGTACATCATGGGCACTAATAGATACGCTACACAAAATTTCATAGTTTGTGTCACAGAGCTGGAATGCTGTCCGGATATCCAGACTGAAGTGGACGTTAAGGGGCCGCCCCCAAGCCCTTGACTTGAAGTCTCATTCTCATGGTTGTAGAACAGCGTGGGAAGCTGCATTCAGGTGACCAAAACAGATTCATACGCCATTTGATGCGTTCGGATTCTGGTGCCGATGCATGCCATAGATTTAGAGTCAGGGTATTCCAGCTTCCCTTTCCGTACCAGCCTGGTTGTAGACGCCAGACATTCGTATTTGCTCTATCACTTATGTGAGGGACACTCGTGCCTCAGCTAAATAAGACGTCATGTGGAAAATTGAGTTCGCTTAATCTTGCGAATTTATATCCCTTCCTGCTTCGTTCTGACCAGTTAAGGAAACAGGGTTTGGTATTTCCCCATTTTGTGAAAGGTTTTATAGTTTGTTAGTGAGTCAAGAGGTCAGACTCTGCTTTGGCTAGAAAGCTTTGGGTATCCGATAATCGTATAAATCAGTCTATAGGACTCGTGGGACATTTGAAAACGTACTAATCCACATGCGGTTACTGCTTTTGAACTACCAGCTGCTCGAAAGATTAATCTGACCCGGATGCCGAAATATTAAAGCATAACTTGCACTGGAATTTACCTTCATTCAGGTTAGTAGGCTGTTTACTGATTTGAAAGGACCATTAAACCCACATAGTTTGTTTCGCAACATGTAGTGTAGTGTTTACTCAGTGTTGCGGCTTTTCGCTATGCATTAACTTTCACTGGAAGAATGGTAGATAAGGGGATTGAACAGATTTTTTGCATGCAGAGTTCGATGTTATGCTGATGAATCGCTGACGCCATAGATATTAATGTCGAAAAATAAGACCCTCTCACCCAGCCGGTAGAAATGCATGGACTGAATTCAGCCGGCCAGGAGACTACATCTAAGTTATAATCCATCATTGATGTTTTACTTTTTTCTGGGTTGCTTTCGTAGACTTGCGATTTTTTCTGTGAATTGATTTTTTTCTACTTTATGAGTCTTGCTGTGTCTAAGTGGACTACTTTTCTTCGTTATTTTTTTCCTTCACGTTTCCCAGTGGAACACAGGGCTTCAAGCTAGTGGCTTGAAGTTTCTGTAGCAATGTGTATTTTACAGGATGGGGTTGCTAGCCTCATGCCCAACCTTTCCTCTTCAGCGGCAATGTTTCTGGCTTAGCGAGGTAAGGGATTAAAGGAGTGCGTCGGCCGGGGATCGAACCCCGGACCATGTGCATGATCGGCGAGCGTCCTAACCGCTATGCCACCGACGCACACTTTCTTCGTTATTACTACTCTTTTTTCTCACACCTCTGTTTACTGTCCCTAATATGCATTTCTACTTTCTTCTCTTCCTTTGTGTGCTACATGGAGTGTGGCGACTTGAACTGCCGCACATATGTGCAAAGTTCTATGTCGGAAACAGACAGACATTTCCAGATGACTATTTGAAGTGACAATATTATAAGCGACCACCTTTTGGCGGCAGCAGCAGGCAGGACAGAATTTTCTTTTATTTTTGTGATTAAAGCTTGATTCCACACCGTAGTTTTGATACAAGTATGGAATTTTCAGCATGTGATATCGGTAGCCCAAAATTTTGCAGGCCGACCATTGATATTTGGTGTGCGTGTTGGGCAGGGGATCGAACCCCGGACCATGCGCGCATGGTCGGCGAGAGTCCTAACCTAACCACTGTACCACCGACGCAAAAAGTAAATTTTTGTGTCGTGATATAGAACCGTGTTTCCCAAGTATTTAATTGTTTCAAGAATCATGAATTCTGTGTTATATATAACATAACCGACCAACCAACCTTGACAATGATTTTAAGATCACCTGCCAGATTCTTACTAAGTTGCCGTGTTTTCCTCCTTCCAAACTTCTAAAGGCAACAAAGACCTTAGCCATCCATGAATTTAAAGTATGCCTTTATTTACAAAAGAAGTATGTATAGTCCCTACTTTTACTTTGGCCTTAGAATAGGAAGTATGGATAAGATGTGTGTTATTTGTCCTGAATGCCTTCCCCCCTTTTTATTGTTATTGATAATTTTTTCACTTTCAACGGTTTCTGGCATTCTTTCACTTTTCTTATTTATTATTTTAAATCGGTATATATATATTTTTACCGTGTGAAAGTCTATCTTATCAAAATTCCCACTCTGTTATATAGTATTTTCATCATTTGCCTACTAATCCCTCTTATCTTACAGCTTTTCCTAATATGTGTGAGATATTTTGTGTATTACGTAACCTGCTTTACGATATCGTATTGAACTTATACTGTAATCAAAAGTATTTTATCGCATTCCGTATATTATTATTATTATTATTATTATTATTCAAGCATTCACGTTTTTCTTTGAAATTCCTCAAGGAATATAGTGTCTTAGAAATCATATATATATATATATATATATATATATATATATATGATTAAATTGTACTAATAATAAAGTAAACAGTGTATCTACCAATTTAACTGCTCCTGTAGAGCCAGTTACTTGCATAGGCCGTACAATTAGGCGTGTTTCTCGTCGAATTTCCGAACATCACTCTGCGTGGTTAAGCAAAGGCCAAATAAAATCCATCTGTCTCATCTTGTGGATACAAAACACAAGATTGATGTTAACTGTTTACGTCCCCTGTATTGGTCATGAGAAAAATAAGAGCAACGATTGATTCAACAACCAATCGCAACAGACTTTGAGTTTGCGGATACAGGTAGCAGATAGATGATCTGAACTTCAAGAAACGGCCACAAACAGATGAAAGATTAACTTTCAGTGAGAAACAACCAATCAGAAGACTGTTTGTTTGCTTAATTAATGAATAATGTACCTGAAAATCTATAAATATGTGTTGATTTCCTAAATAAACGATCTGGTGCCTGGCTCTTGTCTTCTGTTGTTACACTATGATCAGATACTAGCTAACCAAGAGTTGAAGAGCTATATCAGTTGAGCTCCTGACGATCTATTCGGCAAAACATAGATTTATCCCTCACCATCCAGTTATAAATCTTCACATGCCTAATAAAACTAGGGTGTTGTTAGATTGTGCATTTAAATATCCTTGGATGATTGTCAGTATTCGGGGCTAGAGACCTGATGAAAGACTTAACCAGAGTGCTATTGAGTTTCGGAAAACATCGGAGAGCCTTATCAGACGGTGCTGAGAAAATGCTTCTTCAGATTCCCTCACCTTTTCAAAGATGAAGGGGGTTTTAGTTTCTTATCGCATCGTGAAGGCAGACTGGACTTACCGCTGAGCCTATATGAATTAAATATCCATTCCTTCGGTGCCAACTCATCGCCATTTTGTGCAATGTATGCCTTAAGACGAACCGTAATCTATAGTGCGAAACTGTTTGACGAGAGTACGTTAAGCACTCTAAGAGAAATTTTTCTACGTGCATGATTGCCCAGTCTCAGTAGAAATGGTATCAGAAGCCACAGCATTGTCCTGTCACCTGTTTCACCTCGTCTCTCTTGGAGGATTCCGTTTGCACAAATGGGATAGCAACAATGAAGAAGTGTTGTCCTGAATTCCTATTAGTAAACGGTCATCTAAGATACTTCATATATAAAATTTGACGAGCGTCGAGAAGACACAGTTTATTTTGGTGTATCTAATAAGATAAGTTTTATTTTGGACTAAATGTGCCAGTACATCCGGTCCCCAAAAGGGGGATCCTGTTGTCTGTCGCTTTGTTATATGATCCACTTGATTATGTTGCCCCACTACTACTCCCGGCCAGAAGAGTGGTACAGCAACTATGCCGAAATGACTTTGCATGGGACTAACCTGCTGATGAAAATATCTATGCCACATGTTAGGCTTGGCTTGTCGATATTAAGCCAGTCGAAAATCTAAAGGTTCCACAGAACCTTCAGTCGAGCAGATGTTTCACTGCACTTATTTTTGCAAGTTTCAGAAATGGGGTTCGGTTAAGTAACATATCAGCTTTATGACTCCGATTCAAAACAGGTAGGCTGTAGTTCTGCTTTGGAGAAATTTAAAGTGATTCCTTTGAAGCAGGTCACAATGCAACATCTGGAACTACGGGGAGCCGCGATTTCAGTAAAGCTGTTAAAATAGATTTTATAAGAATTTAATTGAGAAGTAAGTGATAGATATATATCTCAATATAGCAAAAATATTCATTCAGACATCTATAAAAACACAAAATAATTGAGCAAAGAATATCCTTTTCGATAAATTCCTCATCCGGCTCTACAATTATATATATGTTTATATACATGGAATATTCTAGACTAGTAGACAATAACAATATTAGTGTTTTTTAAATATTATCGATTTGTAAAGTAACATCACAGCGGAATTGCGCTTCATTAGAGATGCTTAAATTACAATAATAATAATGATGATGAAAGGATATTAGCAAATAGAATATCAACTAAAGTTAGAAAAATTCCACAAAAATTCGGGATCATTCAAACCTAAATGGTCAAGGGGTAAGGATAATGTCTGAACTAACTTCTTTTGGATGCATAAATTAGGCTTGTCAGTATGGCTGGATCTCCACCGTCTCATCCGAACTGATAGATGCTAGAAGACTTATTCCGGCGAGCTCCGAATTCAATGAGGAGCGAAAGCTGCACAAGAGGAAACTTACGAAAAGTCTCCGCAAGGACCGTGAACAGTGGTGGGTGACAAAGGCGAAAGAGATGGAAAAAGCTTCGACGATAGGCAACTATTTAGACTCATCAGGGAAACGGGTGGGAGAAGGCAAATCATTAGTGAAACAATTTTGGAGAAAAATGGCACTATAATTAGCTCCCAGGATACCCGACCGAAAGCTGCTACCTTGACGTGGTGGTCGGGCTTGAACACCGCAATGATCTATTCAAGCTATACTGGCTGAAACTTATGTCTCTTGAGGTCCTACCATGCCAGGCAGGTTGTTCGGATAGCGGTTAAACAAAAAGCAGCTACCCAATCCAACATAATGATACATAGAAAACCACGAAATTTCATGCCGGATCGGCCGTGGCCCGGATTAACAACGACCGCACTTCCTGCTGCCGTGTCACAGGGCAGGAGTGATAAATATGCTACTGTTAATATGGATCCCAACAGTCAGCCTCAGCAATATTTAGTAATCGAACTCTTACGGCGAAATGAAGAATTGTTGATATGTGATAAGTGACTGTAAGCCACCCTTCTGACATCAATGTTGTGTTCTGTTGCATCCACACAAGTTACTTGAGGCATCAAAATTTCTTGAAATTATTGTGTAATAGCGCGCGATAAGTTTCACTGATAGTTTTTTGCTTCATTTGATTTATTGTGTGAGGGCTGAGATACTGCCCGGGCGCCCAGACCGAAGCAGGTGGTTTTATTAGAG